GATGTTGTATCATACTGTTGAATTTATATTTTATGTATTAGGTCTTTGTCTAATGTGTTTCTTATTCGTCGTTCTGATTTGTTTCAAATATGTATGATTATATATGTAAATTTGTCAAATATAAGCATTGATGTTGTATTTTATAGTTATCATGACAGACCTGGTCAAGCTCGAATTTGAGGCCCTTGATATCTCTGGGAAAATTATATTTCATTGACATTAGATGTTGAAATTCATTTGGCTAGAAGGGGATTGGGAATAACAATAATCTCCCCAAATGATTCATCAATACAAGATAGAGCTAAAGCAATGATATTTCTGCGAAATCATTCGAATGAGGGATTGAAAAAATGAATATTTTTAACTGTGAAAGATCTTGCGAACCTTTGTAAAGCCTTGAAAGAAAGGTATGATAATCATAAAACAGTAATTCTCCCTTGGGCTCGCTATGAATGGATGCACTTACGCTTTCAATATTTTAAAACTACAAACGAGTACAATTCAGCAATGTTCCGCATTTGCTCAGTATTGAAATTATGAGGGGAAACCATAAGTGATTACGATATGCTAGAAAAACGTTGTCCACATTCCACGCTTCCAACGTACTTTTGCAGCAACAATACAGAGAAAAAGGCTTTGCGAAATATTCTGAGTTGATTTCTTGCTTGTTGCTAGCTGAAAAAAATAATGAGTTAATGAAAAATCATGCATCTAGACACATGAGTTCTACTGCGATCACTGAAATAAATACTAATAATATCTAGACAGATAAATGAAAATGAAAACAGCCAAACACGTGCGTGGATACACCTCGGGACGTGGTCGTGGTTGTGGACATGGCCGTGGATATGGTCCAGATTGCCGATCTGGCCGAGGCCATAGATTTCACCGAGGGTATAACTCGGGCCGAGAATATAATCGTGGACAAGGCTGTTAGAGGTAAGCTGTAAAAGCTATGTTTTGCAGATTCTATCAATTCCATTTTGATCTGGCCATCATGTTTCGGTCAAAGTACATATGTTTGCAGTTTATTTATTTATGCAATACATACTCCATGTCTTATATTGAGGTAGTGTGGTTCGAAGTGTTTTGAACAGAAAGATCACCTATCGGTTCCTTATAAGACTAAATCATTCGTTCACAGTCTAGACTGGCAGTGAGACCCCACTTGAAAAAAGACTGTAGTGTATTCTTGATTCAGTTGGTCTTTGACTGGAGAATTACACTAGCACTTATGTTAAGTGTTGAACAGGAGCGCGGAAGGCAAAGATTATGAGACTCACTGACAGTAGTTGTAACCTCGTCCTTCAGTGATTGATGCGTTCTCTTAAGCTGTAAGATAATATAAAATAGGCATATATTTTTATTTCTTATTTATTTGATTTACCAAGTGATTCATATATTATTAGGACGACATACGAGGTATTTGGTAAGTAAGAACAAATATATGATGTGCT